TCCCCAGTACAAGAGGGACGTGGAACTTCTAGAGAGGGTCCAGCGTAGAGCGACAAAGATGATTAAGGGACTGGAGCATCTATCTTATCAGGAAGACTAGGTGAGCTGGGCCTGTTTAGCCTGGAGAAGAGAAGGCTGAGAGGGGACCTTACCAGTTTGTATAAATACCTGAGGGGAGAATGTAGGGAGGATGGGGCCAAGCTCTTCTTGGTGGTAGCCAGTGACAGGACAAGGGGTAATGGGTATAAATTAGAACACAGGAAGTTCCATATGCACATGAGGAAGAATGTTTTTATTGTGAGGGTGGCAGAGCACTGGAACAGGCTGCCCAGAGAGGTTGTGGAGTCTCCTTCTCTGGAGGTAATTCAAAACCTGCCTGAATGTGGCTCTGTGCAACGTGCTCTATGTGTCCCTGCTGGAGCAGGGGGGTTGGACTAGATGATCTCTAGAGGTCCCTTCCAACCTTAACCATTCTGTGATGGGTACAGTTTCTTGAACCTCAGTCTGTTTGACAATACTAATAAACCTTCTGACCACTGGGAAGGTCAGAACATATTTCTTCTTATCCTGTTTGAAATACATGCCATAAAAATAAATAAAATAAAGATTGCCTATCATCTCAGTAATAAATGGGGGCATTTATAGCATCAACATTGCTATGAAATAAATTCATAATGATCACATTGGTGTGACATTGAATCCCTCAGCCAGAGTTCTTCCCTATTACTTTTATTCCTCCGCAAACTCTCTAAATAACAAGAAATAGCTTTTTAAAATAATAATAATAATAAAAAATCTCAGTTTCTGTGTGCATTAGGAACATTAATAGAAAATACTAATTTTGCTAATCTCTATCACAATCCCTGACATTTTAAGCCCTACCTATTTTTCTCCACTGGCTACAAAAAAAACCCAAACAATCAAACAAACAAACAAACGAAAAAACACTCAAATCATTAAAACCAATTTGTACTCCCTCACTTAGGTACCCAATTATATTTTGGCCTGTTAAATTTGTATCCCAAACCCTCTTTCTGATCACAGAAAGCATCTGTCATTGATCACAAGCCATTAGGGACTATAACAGGCTGTTGAAAGTTTGTTAATAAGCAAAAAAAACTTGCTGACTTCTTGTTCATGGGATTTGCAGAAGTTCAAATCATCCTCTATATTTAGAAATAATCCCACAGACAATGAGACAGTGTGATCTAACAAAAAATGAGGAATTCTGATTAAAGTCTAGTCCTGGAAGTCTATGCAAATGAAATAACCTCCACAAATTTTTATTTGTTAAGCAAAATGTGTTGAAACATAGGGCTTGTAATATTTTCCAATGAATGAAACCACACTGAAATCTTAATTAGTCCCTTCAGATTAAGGATCGTTCTCTTATGGACATTATTTTATTTTTATGCCTGATACCAGTTTAGCACAAAAGACCTTTTCAGTACTTTATGGTAATTCAATTCCTCTCCTCTCCTCTCCTCTCCTCTCCTCTCCTCTCCTCCTCCCTTTTGAGGTTTTCCTTTGAGGTTTATGTGGGGACTTCACCTGTTGTATTAATTGTATTTAATCATTCCTTTTTACAATGTTATGTGAACAAAAGAGTCATTCATACCGAAGAAAGTAAAAATTATTTTCTAATGAAAAAATGAATATGTTACATAAAGCATCTGCTATACACAGGGTATGCAGTTGTGCCAGGATCTGTTTTCAATAAGTATTTTATCCATAACATTGCACATAGAACATTATGTAGCAATTTTAAAAAACTGAATCTAACTTTAACCTCGGACTTGAGGTGGGCTCTCTTCTGCTTTTAGCAGACAAAACATGTTTAGACATTAAAACCTTTGGGATTGCAGAAAAATATCTAAAACTTATTTGATGGCTATAGTTCTCAATTATTTTCACCCCTACTAAATGCTATAGGATGTTTTTCTATGGCATCGTGGTGCTTATTTCGTTTCTGAGATGATTCGCGGTGAAATAACAGTGCTCATCAGATTGGGCCCAGCGGTGCTAAGGGAAGAGAGAGGTAATTGACAATATATGACTTGAAGGGGCATATTTTACTATGTAAGGATAATACCTAGAAGTCATATTAGTGTACCCTCCTTCAGTTCAAAAGCAGTATATGCTCTTATATTCACAAAACAAGGTGTGGAAATTATATAAACTGCAGAACTATAACAGTGTCTCAAACAATTCAAAACTACTCTCTGTGATTTTCATTTAAATTGATAAGAGAAAGATGAACAGCCTTCAAAAATGAAATCTGATATTACACAGGAAGTTCCATCTCCATGTGAGGAAGAACTTCTTGACTGTGAGGGTGACAGAGCCCTGGAACAGGCTGCCCAGGGAGGTTGTGGAGTCTCCTTCTTTGGAGATCTTCAAAATCCGCCTAGATGCAACCCTGTGCCATGTGCTCTGGGTGTCCCTGCTGGAGCAGGGGAGTTGGACTAGATGATCTCTAGAGGTCCCTTCCAACCTCAACAATTCTATGATTCAGTCAGCTTAGCATGGTCAAGCACAATTTTTCCTTTGCAAATACATGCTGGCTAATCACAATCACCTTCTTTGTCCTTCATAACTTTGGAAATGGTTTCTAGGTTTATTTGTTCCATCTCCGTCCCAGGGAGTGAGGCGAGGTTGACCAGTCTACAGTTCCCTGGATCCTCCTTCTTGCCCTTTTTGAAGATAGGAGTGACATTTACTTTCTTCTGATCCTTGGGAACCTCCCCTTCTCACCATGACTTTTCAAAGATGATTGAGAGTGGCCTCACAATGACTTTGGCCAGTTCCTTCAGCACCTGTGGGTACATCCTATCAGGTCCCATGGACTTGGATACATCCTAGGCTTTTTAAGCGTTCCCTAATCTGTTCCTCCACTGAGAGTACATATTCCTTGCTCTAGACTTTCCCACCCGTCTCAGGGGCCTGGGATTCATACCAGTCTTACCAGTAAAGATTGTGGCAATTAAGGCACTGATTATCTCTGCCTTTTCCATTTCCTTTGTCACTAGGTCTCATCTAACTTTTTTTTTTTTTTGGTGCTCATTACCAGACATATAATCCTCCAGTAGTTGAAAATCTAATCCACCAAATGTCTTATTTCTTCTGAAGTAATGGGTGATTATTTTTCCCAGTTTTTATTCCCTTGTGCTCTTTCTTCTTTGTTCTTTATTGCATTTGTAATATAGAAGTCAAGGAAGCCCAGTTGTGCTGCATCTGTGTTCAGCCTTTTACTCACCAAGACATTCTTTGAGGTTCCAGCTTGCTCTGGGGATAACTCTGGTATAGTGAAATAGCAGCTTTACAGTGGAAATTTCATATGTAGATTCATAGAGGAAATAGGATTGGAGCAATCCTTCAAATACAATGTAGCAATGCATGTATTCCTTAGCAAGGGTCAAATTCTTGTTGTGGCACAGGCCAATGTCCGACTAGTATTGGGGCAACTAGGTAATAACAGAAAACAGGTTCCTTAGAATTCAGCTTTAAGGAAATTCCTTCTCTTACAAGGATCTACAGAGATTCTAAAAGAGCCACTGTTCAATTGCACATCACTCTTGGATGCAGTCCTGTGCCACGTGCTCTAGATGACCCTGCGTGTGCAGGGGGGTTGGCCTGGATGACCTCTAGAGGTCCCTTCCAACCTTAAGCATTCTATGATTCTATGATTCTATGATAAAAGGTGAACTAAGGATGAAAAGGAGGAGGGAAGAATCCATCGTAACTCCTGGGTCAGTCGACGGGCTGATTCCACTTTCCTCCCCTTGGACTGGAACGCCGCCTGAGGAGACTTGAGAGTGAGAGCCCTCTCCCATCTTCTGGGGTGAGCGATGATTGCACATTTGTACATCAGAGCTAGCTAAAACCCCATGCTCTAGTAGAGAATTTCCTGTACTGACATCCGAAACCTGCTTTCTAAATGTTGCATTTGAATAAATCATACTGTTTGTGAACTCGACTACTTGTTTGGGGGGAGGCGATCGGACCTACAGTTGACGGACTCTTCGTGAATCCGATACTGCCAGAGTCGAGCTTGTAGCTGATCACACTATTTGGGAACTCGATTCGCTCCTAGGAAGGTGATCAGGCCTACGGTCCACAGACTGTTTGTGAATCCAATACTGATTTGATATCTCCTTCCCTCCCCCCCCCCCCCCCACCACTACGGCTTTCAAACTGCAACATTTCACACCCCACACTTATAGAAGTGCAACTTTTCTCATATTTATGTTGCTTTTTCAGGAAATCTGGCTGATTGTCAAGATTTATTTGCTATGTGAAGATAGGTGCTGGCTTTCTTGTTTTCAGTAGAGAGCTCTCTTAAAGGGGAATAATTGCTGTATCTGCAGTGAATTTGAGCCACCTTATCCTGACTTTATTTTTCCATTATGTGATTATGCATAGCTTGGAACTGTACAAGGCTGTCAACATTGCATATAGTAGACCATGTTTGATCTCGAAGGGAAGGGCTCCGGAGCGGACACTCGCGTCGGAGCACCTTGCCTAGAGGAACAGAATCGCGGC